CTTGTCAGATTTGAAATTAGCGCACTGTAGTAAGTACCATATTTGTTTTATTTGACTATATATTTCGTTCATATGCGATTATGTAATGTAAAGTGTCTGTGATTGACAACGCTCGTACCTATCTCTGTTTGTTGTGTTTATTCAGACCATTCCGTTATATTACAGGACGAAACTTTTGCGTTCTCAAGAAATGGAAATTAAGAAAATAAACCGAAGTTTTACGTCTAAGTGCTTTTCAATTAACACACGTGACATCACTGTTATAAATCAATGGGGAAATATAAAAACTGTTATTTTGGCGCCGAGAATGATCTAAAACTATCCCACGTACATGGTATCGTGATGTCATGCACTCCTTGCAAAGTCCAATGCTTTACTTTTGCATTGTTAACCTTGCGTGACGTCATTTATGACGTCACTAGGGTCGTACGAGTTTTTCGTCAATAACTCCCGATCAAATGGAGCTAGAGATTTGGGAAAGCCACCAATGGACTCGGGAAGACTTTCCGAATCGAATGATATGCCATATGATACTATTTGCCCAGCTTCGTGACCTGAGGGGCTCTGACCTGACCTTGACCCGAGGTCAACTACTTAAGTTGACCTCACCCTAGCAAAAAGTATATCATTCGATGCAACTGAGCTAGGCGAACACAATGATGCCAAAATCGCGGCTCTGCGGCCATTTTTTGCGAAGTTATTTACTAAAAACCGAACTCGTAACTTCAGTCACGTGACCTGACCTCAGACGCTACCGGTTAACCTGAGACCTTAAAATCGGGTACCAATCGCTGCGACTTGTAACGGCACACACGCTCGTTTTTTCCGCGAGGCTCTAGCTCTATTAGAAGCGAAACGGCGTGCTGGGGTCGTATCAACCCCTCCGAAACCCATTTTGTTTGCGGGAAAATGAGGAACTTTTAGAAAGAACACCTTTCTAAGTTTTTGCATGTCGATTTGCAATGACATGAAGTTTATTTTGAAAAAAAATAAAAATGTGAAAAATTTTGGTCCCAAAAGTCATTAGAGGCAAATGAAAAAAAGCTTAAGGTTTTTGCTCAACAATGATATTTTTTCTTTGGAATTTTTAAATAGTAATATTAATTTTTGATTCATCGCAAGCTTAGTGTTGTTTACTTTTTGTTGGTTGCTTAACCCGTTCTTGAGTTATAGGCCATCAAACTCACCGTTACATACCAAAGTTAAAAAAAATGTAATGCAATATAACTAAAAAAGTTTTGATCTGAGAAGTCTAATATTTTGCCAGGCGTCTTTGGGGCCTATGATTACCCCTAGGACCGATTTTCATTAACCCGCGCGGGGCTGGGGTCTCCAGCCGAACGCGCGGGGCTTGGGGTGGTTAAATTTTACCCCCCCCCCGTTATCTCCCGAACTAATGGTCGGATTTGGAAAATTCAAACGCCAATCGAAAGATCTCATCACGAACAACTAAAAACATGTACTTAATTTAAAGTTTGAGCCTTGAGGTCAAGGTCAAGGTCAGGTCAAGGGTACAAATTGCAAGTTTCTACAGTATCGGCCTTGCACCGTAGTTGCCGAAGAATGGACTGAGACTGATTGCCCAAAACGTGTTCTTAGGCTACCAAGACAATATTCGCTGCTTACAATATCATTCAGAGGTCACGGTCAAGGTCAGGTCAGGTCAGGTCAGGTCACCAAAAACAAAATATAGAAAAGGGCATGTGTGACACATGCTTTATGGGTCATTTTACTCATAGAATTCAATAGGCACACTCAATAGGTGATATGGACCACATCTGGATGAATTTCAGGTCGAGGTTAGAGGTCAAGGTCAGGTCAAGTGAGGTCAAATTTTGAAGTTGGTTGTTAAGGCCTAAAAAGGTGTCTATCTGATGCAGTTTTTCACGGCGAATCGAATGGTGCTATTTTTGTTTCCGTGCGAGGTCTAGAACTTCAAAAAAATCATTTTTCAAAATTTGTGTGTGTCGTGACGTCATGAAATCTTTAATAACTCCCACATTTTTGAATCGATTCTTCTAAAAATTGGTGTGTAGGTGCACATAGACCACATCTCTGACATATATTCCGGTTTTTTCGATACACTCATAATTTTGGATTTTATAATTATTTTCCAAAAAAAAAACAGTTTTTTGAAAAATGTTTGGCCAAAGTCCAAAATTTTCAAAAAACCGAGATATCCATTTGATAGACACAGTAGAATTACGTATAACCTTTTTTGTTACGTCTTGATTCCTTTAAAAATGAAGATGTTAGCGGCGTTTGAAATTTTGCCGTATTCGAGGCGAAAATGGCGAACATGACGTGACTAAAACGTCAATTTCTCAGAAATTTTCCGACGGATTTCGCTCAAATTTTCAGGAAACGTGTCAAATTGATGTAGGAAAAGGTACTAAAAGTTTGGCGGCGCTGCGCGCCGCCGTTTTTGAGTTATTGCAAAAATTCGCGAGGGTGGGTAAAATTTACCCTTCCAGCCCCGCGCGGGTTAAAATCTGAGAGATGAGGGTGACAGGCCTGGTACGATCTATCGTGGAATGCCCCAGCTGGTAAGCAATCGATAGCTGGATCTGAAAATTTTGCAGCAAATGTACGATTAAGTACGATTAATGGTTCAAACCGATTAAGTACGATAGAGTAGTATGTAGATCTCTGACATATATGTGTCAGAGAACCTCTTACGGGCCTTACACATGCCAAAAAATAACAAAATATCTCTAAACGTGCCAGAGATATAGCCATTTGAAGGGCTGAAAAAGTAGCGACTGTTTTTATGACGTCACAATATTTTCGGTATTTGTGCTTAAAACAGTCAGGAGTAATATTTATGATACTTTTCAACCTTTTCCTGACTGAATATGATCTTTTACGTGAGTAAAGTCACTTTGACGTAAAAAATGTTTTTAGCTGTAAACCGGTACAATTTGACCTTATCTGTCATTCCTGTGACGTCATGGATCCAAGAAAAATGGTCAAGGAGGTTTCTGTGGTTGCATATATATGACATGTCTTTATAAAGACTCTCGAATATTCACAATTTAGCATGCCTTTCGTTACGCTTCAGGAAAGTGTTTTCTGATTGGTCGAGGCTGACCTCTGTTGTGACGTCATAGATCATCATCTACTCAGGTGGCTATCCATATGCCAGATCTATCATATACATCATATCCAGACTCATTTTGGAAACTTAGATATTATTTTTATGACCGGCTTCTCGTCGTTGTAAATTGGACTGATTTGACCTTTTTTACCTCCCTGTGACGTCACAGGTCAAATATCAAGGTCATCAGTATCCTTTCTTGTGCATCTCGATGAGCTCATTCGAATGCCGTTTGAATTTTTCCGATCCGGCTATTGGTTTCGGAGATACGACGGGGGGCCCTTTGCCCTGCCCCCCCCCCCAAAGGACGTGGAATCTGACAGACCTCAACGGGGCGAAGGTTAATTCATATCTTATTGTAGTTAGATATCCACATTAACTCGCCGAACTGTCATGACACAATGTATTCTTCATAAGACCTGCAAGCTTTGAAACAATTACAACTGCCGTTTGCCCTGCAGGCGTGGCAACATACGAGGGGGTGCAATCGGCTTGCACGTGTGTAGTTCATGCATGCACCCCAGAGTTTAGGTCAACCAAAAGTACACTATTTTGGAGGTCTTGCATAGGATTACCACTGAAACGATTTGACCTCACGTCAAAACGCCCCCCTCCCCAAGCACGTGAAGCCTGCATCTCCGCAGACATTGACCCCCCCCCCCCCCCCGGAAACTGGTTCAAGGTGTTACCGATGGGTCCCGCCTACATGGTTTCTCCGTAACCTCGGGTTGACCTGAAACCTTGACAAAAAAAATCGTTCCACCGAAACTTTGAAGCGGAATAGTATCAAGTATGTGCCGCGAAGCACGGAGCGAACCTATGCCAGCACAAAAAGTTTACCTCGCTGGAGACGAGTCGAACAGTCCCACTTTCGTCCCGATCGGTTCTTATCGAATCGGTGGATGACTTGTGAACCATTAGGTGATGCAACCTGTGTGCCGGTGGCCCGGTGCGGTGGCGGCCCGGTGGGCTCTTAGTCCGCTGGCCGGTGGGTCAGTGGGTCGTTAGTCCGGTGTTTCGGTCGGTCAGTAGGTCGCTGGGTCGGTGGTAGTGATGTCAATTACAGAAAATCGTGATACCGATACCAAACCAAATACCAACAATATCCATTGAAAAATACCGAAACCAAACCGACTTGGGATTATGAGGAAAATACCAACTTTTTTCCAAATTCTCATCCTCTTTTACATTAGTTAGGATTCATAATGCCAACAAAATACCAAATGCACAGTACTCGCCTTGAAATACCAAATACCAAGTTGGTATCGGTTTGGTATCGGTATACCAAAAAGTTGGTATCCGATTGACATCTTTAGTCGGTGGGGTGGTGGGCGGTAGGTCGGTGGGTCGGTCCCGGTGTTTCGGTGGGTCGGTGGGTCGGTCCCAGTGTTTCGGTGAGTCGGTGGGTCGGTCCCGGTGTTTCGGTGAGTCGGTGGGTCGGTCCCGGTGTTTCAGTGTTTCGGTGGGTCGGTCCCGGTGTTTCGGTAGGTCGGTGGGTCGGTCCCGGTGAGTCGGTGGGTCGGTGGGTCGGTCCCGGTGAGTCGGTGGGTCGGTCCCGGTGTTTCAGTGTTTCGGTGGGTCGGTCCCGGTGTTTCGGTGGGTTGGTGGGACAATGGGTCGGTCCCGGTGTTTCGGTGGGTCGGTCCCGGTGTTTCGGTGGGTCGGTGGGTCGATCCCGGTGTTTCGGTGGGTCGGTCCCGGTGTTTCAGTGTTTCGGTGGGTCGGTCCCGGTGTTTCGGTGGGTTAGTGGGACGGTGGGTCGGTGGGGTGGTGGGCGGTAGGACGATGGGTCGTTAGCCCGGAGGACGCCGTCAGTCGGTGCAGATGCGCGCGCGCGCCGCCGCCGCCGCCGCCGCCGCCGCCGCCGTCGGTCGTTCGACCCCGGCCGACTGGTCTACAGACGTCCTCTGTGACTCGCACACACCAGTCATGATGCGCAAACTGGCCGTGTCCAACTTTCTGCAGCAGAGCCTGTGAGTACCGCCAGCTGACGTCACTGACGTCCCCTCGGTCGGCCCGGTGACGTCACTCGTGGGTGGTCCGGGCCGACCGGGCACCCGCCGGTGGGGGGGGGGGGAGGGGGGTCTGACACTGGGGCTCCACAGCCTCTCACTTGTTGATTTCCTGCTGCGCGTCGACCCAGTCCCGCTGTGCTGGTCCTGCCGCCTACCACCCCAGACTCATCCTGCTGGCACTGCGCTCCCTACAGGTCCTGCGGTCCCCGCTGGCACTGCGCTCCCTACAGGCACTGCGGTCCCCGCTGGCACTGCGCTCCCTACAGGTCCTGCGGTCCCCGCTGGCACTGCGCTCCCTACAGGTCCTGCGGTCCCCGCTGGCACTGCGCTCCCTACAGGTCCTGCGGTCCCCGCTGGCACTGCGCTCCCTACAGGTCCTGCGGTCCCCGCTGGCACTGCGCTCCCTACAGGTCCTGCGGTCCCCGCTGGCACTGCGCTCCCTACAGGTCCTGCGGTCCCCGCTGGCACTGCGCTCCCTACAGGTCCTGCGGTCCCCGCTGGCACTGCGGTTCCAGCAGTTCCTGCGGTCCCCGCTGGTACTGCGGTTCCAGCAGTTCCTGCGGTCCCCGCTGGTACTGCGGTTCCAGCAGTTCCTGCGGTCCCCGCTGGTACTGCGGTTCCAGCAGTTCCTGCGGTCCCCGCTGGTACTGCGGTTCCAGCAGTTCCTGCGGTCCCCGCTGGTACTGCGGTCCCCGCTGTATGTATTTTATGTACGAGGGGCGTTCAAAAAGTTCCGGGCCCAACCATGAAGGAGTTGGAATTTTGGCCTGCAACGCGGTATGTTCAATGATGTGTTATTGGGATGTCCACTTACGTAGCCATTAAGCAATCTGCCCTACAATTGGTTCAGGCTGCTAGTTAATCATAACATAGTTTGCCATCCCCCCCCCCTCCCCAGTCAGGATGGGCGACGCCCAGAAGAGAACAGTGATTTGGCTCATAGTATAGCAGAAAAAGGCACCAAGCGTTATTCACGAAAAGTTAGTGGCAACACATGTTGAGGTTTGTCTTTCTTACAGTACGCTCAAAAAGTGGGCATCTCGCTATCGAGGAGAGACTAGGGAAGCTGGCAAAAAGTTTGCGCCTAAAGGCCTGGCTACACTATGCGTTTTCTGCGTGCGTTTTTGCAGGTTTGCGTGTTTTGCGTAATATCGTTCTAGGAAAAAAGTTATAAAAATATACTTCTTACTTTGGTTATATACAAAAGCTAATATAACTCTTATGTAACTAAAATTTAAGGTGAAAAACATCACAAAAACGTAATATCGTTCTTTTTTCTAGAACGATATCACGCAAAACACGCAAACACGAAAAAAAACGCACGAAGAAAACGCATAGTGTAGCCAGGCCTTAACCCAGGACCACGCACATGCGCACATGAGCACGGTGACGATCAGCAAAGCGGTGAGCTGTGACTTCGAGTTGTAGTCGCATTCACCTTTTCATTTGAGCCTTGCACCCTCTGGTTGCAACCTCTTGCCCAACATAAGGAAATTGCTTAGGAGTCGAATATTCGCTGACAGCAGGGAGACGAAAGCAGCCGTCTTTGACGTGCCGGATGGGTCAAAAACCCATTTGGTTATGGACAGTGACGAATCCAGGGGGGGGGGGCAAAATGGGCATTTGCCCTTCCCAAACGGCATAATTTTAATATTACGCCTATGGACGAGGCATGGAAAGAATCGATAAATTGTTATGGTTTGCCCCCCCCCCCAAAAAAAAAACTCTGAGCTGGATTCGCCACTGGTTATGGAGGCCCTCAGGACTCTGGCGAAGCACTGCGCTACGCGAAATTTGTTTGTCTTAAAGGGACCCTCCCACCTTCAAAAGAGTTAATGACTTAGCATAAAAGTGATGTCCCTTGTTTCGGAAAGATCAAAAATGAATAAAAAATGGGGGAAAATTTCAGGCAGTTTGCAAAATGCCTGGTGGTTCAGGCAGTTTGCAAACTGCCTAGGTATTTTGCAAAATGCCTGGCCGGTCAGGAATTTTGCAAATTGCCTAGGCATTTTGCAAAATGCCCGCGAGTCTACACTTTGCCTGTAACATATCTACCAAATTTCACCGAAAAATATTCACTGGTTTTCAATATATTAGGCTTTTACTTTTATTTACTTTTTGGGATCTCCGCTGTTCCTAGCGACTTATTTGGAAGCAATAATTTGGCAGCCTCGAAGTGCGGCAGACGCGCTGCGCGCAAACCGCGCAAAGTGCGCGTGTTAACGATTATTTTATTCTAAGATTTAAAAATCGTTAGATCTCCGCTGACGTCACAAATTCTAAGGGAGCATTGCAATGCATTAGCCCCTCAAAATCCGAAAACTGTAAGTTTGAAATTACATATCTCCGAATTAAAGCATTTTTCGATGTTGTGAGTGTCCAAACCGGTATTTGCAGGCCATGGCCACCAACTTGGCTATTTCAACTCAAAACTAATGTTAAGGTGGGATGGTCACTTTAACGGCAGTTATTTGAATAAATGAACATTTTTGGTCTAATAAGTCGATGCCGTATCTCTGCCCCTTCATGGTCGGGCCGAGAACTTTTTGAACGCCCCTCGTACGTATTTACGATCATGGGCGATCCACACATTGTGTGGTGATTAGGTACTGCCCAGAGTCTGAGTCGGGTATGTATGTATAGTCTTTCTTGAACCGGGGGGCAGGTTGAAAGTTACCTACCCCGGCCAGGTGGCCGGGGCAGGTTCTCCACCCATGGTCATTAGTGTGACTGGCCACGCCGTCCGCCATGCGATGAAAAGCGCTCGCCACCTTGCAGGAAAACCGTTAGATTTCAGTTGTCGGCGGCGTCGCCACGTGGTGCGTGTGCAGTGCGAGTGATGGCAGGACTTTTTTGAATTTATGTGATTATAGTGTTGCCAAACGTTGTTCGCAGTGTACTTTTATTTCAAGTGATGGTGCATTAACCCTCGCCCGCACATGGGGGGGGGGTGCCACCCCCCCTCCAGGTAGTTTCTGTTCTGCACTGTAAAATTTGTACTGAAAATTTGTACAGCTAGAAGCCTGATTTTTCGTGTAGCTGCTCCTCTATCCTTTCTTCGTCCACTGAAAGTTTCAAGTTTCTTTGATTTTTTGTTTCGGAGATATGACCTCGTATTTCAGGTCATGTCATGACCCAAATGACCAAAACTCAATATCGTGCGTTAGCTATGGGTCTTGTGAGCTTTTGACACCTTGATTTTGGGTGTGTTTTTGCTAGTCTTACCTCCCACCTGTCCTGGAACATGTTATTCGACGATGTGCAGGTGTCAGGGTCAGGGTCAAGGTCAACCTAGGTCATCTAATAACATTGCATTTTAGGCTTGCTAAATTTACTTTCGTGAAGTTTTTTTACTGAATTTTTGGTAAAAGCTTCTCAGATCATGATCTCATGTAATTGGGACACACAAACCAATCGGTGCCCACATCAGTATACACACAGACACACACAGGCATGAGACATATAAACACATATCATTGACCTTCACCTAGCTTGACCTGAAATGACCACAGCCGGTGAAAACCTAGTCGAATAGTGTGACAAAGAGCTGTTCTAACTGGCCTGGCACCACAAAGGGCAGCGCCATTAGTATATGATGGGCACCGCACGTGATATTCCAACGGTGGCCCCAAACAGCAACATTTTTTTGTTTGACCTGACCTGGAAGGTCAATCATTGACCTAATGAGGTAAAATTGGGTACCATTGGATTCGTATCTTCCAAAAAAAATCTGTTGGTTTTTGCCGCGAAGCTCTATCTCCAGCAGGAACGAAATGGCGCGGGGGGGGGGGGGTAACCAATCTCCCATGTGCCTTCTAGGACGGGAAAATGGCATGTGCGGGCGAGGCAAAAAGCAGTTTTAGAGCAGTTTGTTTTTAATTCAAAAGTTTCATACACATTGCGCATACAACCATTGAAAATGATTCGGTTATTGACGCATTAGCATTTGAACTCTTGGTGTTTGGCTATGAACCCTCGAGACCTTATTTTCGCATCTCAGGGTAATGATAAGATAGCAAATTCTTATCTTTGCGTTTCAGAGGAGTGCGAGATAGAAATATCACTGCACTATAGACCCCATGGCAAATTTACCTCTGCTAGAAAGATAGCAGTTGGCTAACACTTTGTATTCTGAGTCTTCCATGAAAAAAACTGGATCTAGCTCAAAGACGGAGCTCTTAACGGAGCATGACGCGGGAGGGCTCTATAGAGCCCCCTTCGGTTTTTCGGCAATATCTTCTAAACCGCATCTTCTAAACCGCAAATATCTTCTAAAACCGCACAGATGTCTTGCGCGTCGCCAATCGTCACACTACCAACTTCCAGAATGACGCATATTTACGGATGTGTAACGGAAAGTCGCCGGGGTTGCGCTTACATACTTTGCTTATAAGGTCGACGATTGGAAATTGGGAGGCGGTTGGCTATTTTCGACCCCGGATATTGCTTCATCACATGATGAGGAACATGCTGATCAGCGTTTTATCTGTCATAAATGCACAAAAGTATTTTTAATCATTTTTCAAAAATAGCCGTTCCGCCGCATCTTCAGTGCAAGGTGCCGTCGGTCATCCCCGACGTCACGTCACGCCGGGGATTGCCAGATTTTCCTACTAGACTTACATAACATACGAAACCCATCAGAGTTGTCTACATCTTCAGTGGTGTCAAAGACCGCATCACGCTCCGTAAAATACAAATCCACATTTTATTTGAATTTGTTAAGGGAGGAACTATCAGTAACCCAAGCGGGTAAACTATTCCACATATCAATGACGTGGTTAGTAAAAAAGGATTGCCTTTAACTCAATTCAATCAAAGCACATCTCACTCTCCGGTAATGGAGTAAAAACATATTCAACGATTTAAAGGGACCCTCCCACCTTAACATTAGATTTGAGTTGAGATAGCCAAAATGGGGTCCCTGGCTCACAATTACCGGTTTCGGCACTCACAAC